TGTGGCAGTCATCTTCAGAGTCAAAGTGAGTTGTATCGTATCAGTTGATAATATTAATATCTTGTTATTGACCTGATTGGTCAATTAAGTCACGATGATATTGGTCGTCTGTCAGTTAAGCCATGATGTTATTTGGATTAATAGACTGAATGCCCGGGGGATTACTTGGGTTAATTTTTGCTGGGTAATTGTGCCACTGGCCTCTCAGAACCCCTGCCCCATTATAGTCTATTCTGTGGCCATATTATAGACCCTGTCTTAGTTGCTTTGGGAAAAAAGTAATTTTCACTATCCCAACTTAGTCACTTTCTGTTTATGCATGTACCTTATAAAGCCTTTAAACTAGCTTGGTCTTCCTGACATGACCTGACAGATTTGTTAAACTTAATGTGGTGTAAATCTTTCTATTTTTAAATCCCTACATAGCTGAATTTTCTGACCCCCAAAATCCATTCTAGTAACTCTTATAAAAATTCAACCCCATAATTGTCAATCCATTCATGAAAATGTGACCCCATCCAGAAACACATACCCATTAGCCGACCACTAGGGTAGTATACCACCCCCGGACTGGTGCTGGGTGACTTGGATGACTGTGATAAAAAGGATAATGAGAATAACTGGGATAGCAAGGTTGAGTAGGGGAACTGGGATGACTGAGGTAATTGGAGAGAGTAGGATGACTAGGGTGATGAGAAAACAGAGATGACTGGGGTGACTGGGATGACTGAAGTAATTAAGAGTGACTAGGATGATTACGGTATGAGATAACTGAGGATAAATAGAATAACAGTGATGACTAGGATGACTGGGGTGACTGGAATGACTGAAGTAATTAAGATTGACTAGGATGAGTATGGAATGAGATAACTGATATGACTGCATAGGGTGATTGGGATTAATAGAATGACAGGGATGACTAGGATGACTGGGATGACTGAAGTAATTAAGAGTGACTAGGATGATTATGGGATGGGATGACTGCATGGGGTGATTGGGATAATAGAGTGACAGGGATGACTAGGATGACTAAGGTGACTGGGATGACTGAAGTAATTAAGAGTGACTAGGATGATTACGGGATGAGATGACTGAGATGAATGCATGGGGTGACTGGGATAACTAGAATGTCAGGGACGACTACGATGACTTGGGTGACTAGATGATTTGGATAACTGGAATCACTGGGATTACCTGGAATGACTGGGGTGACTAGGATGACTGGGATGACTTGGATGACTTGGATGACTAGGATGACTAGCATGACTATGATGACTTTGGTGACTGGGATGATTTGGACAACTGGAATCACTGGGATGACTGGGATGGCTAGGATGACTACGATGACTAAGGTGACTGGGATAACTAAGATAACCAGGATGCCTGGGGTGACTGGGAAACCTAGGACGGCTGGGATGATGACTAGAATAACTAGGATGACCTAGATGAGATGGATGACTAGGGTGATTGGGATGCCTACGATGACTGGGATAACTAGGGTGACTAGGATGACTGGGATGTCAAAAATTACTAGGATGGCTAGGATGACCAGGATGATTTGGATGACTAAGGATGACTAGGATGACTAGAAGAAATGAGGATGATTAGGGTGATTGGGATAACTAGTATAGAATGACTGCAATAATTACTAGGAATAATACTGGGATGACTCGGGTAGCTGGGATGGGTGGAATGACTACGATTACTGGGTTGACTGGGATGACTAAGGTCACAGGGATGGCAGTGGTGACTTCAGTGACTAGGATGACTAGGTTGGGTGGGATAAGTTGAATGACTTAGATGACTGGGATAAATAGGATGACTGAGATGACTATTATGCCTGGTGACTAGGATGACAATGATGACAAGGATGACCAGGATGACTGCAATGAGTAGGATAACTGCATTGACTCTGATTACTGAGGTGAATGAGATGACTAGGACTAGGCTTATCCCCTAACAGGCAGCCCAGTCTCTAAACAAAGTGTCTTATACCAGTTTAGAAAGTTAATAAAAGAAAAAGCTTTTGATACCTGGAATGCCTGAAATCACCAATGGTACACTGCCATCCTCCTGCTGCTTTTGCTGTCATTATCCCTTTAATTGAAGAACTGTTTTGATGTCCAACTTGTAATGGGCAAAGAATCTTCCAGATCATTCCCAAATGGGAGGGGTTCTGTTAAATGGCCAGAGATGCAAGAAATATTACAATTAATACAGTGTTTAATTAAATATATGAAGTCTTGCTTCGATCCTTTTACTGTCAAACAACAAACCCGTGAACACCAGAAATATTTCTGGAACACGAGTGGTAAGAAAAAAAAGACTATCAGGCATGAGAAAATTAAACCGCAAGCAAACGTGATAAATTAGTTTGTGGTTTTGTGGCAATCTCACTAGTCCTGATATTTGTTTTGATTGGTCATAACACAACATGCATTCTTGAAATCGGTCAGTGTAAAATGCAGAGAGTCACGTGTATCGGAAACTTCCTGTTTAAAGTTGAAGCGTGAGGTCTCTCGGAAGGAGAAAAAGTTCCAAGATTGCGACTGTGTTATTGGGTCGTCAACGACATTCCAGAGAAGAAAGGAATGGATTTGTGAAAGCCGATGTTGTCAAGTAAGTGTTTGTTTACATGTATTTGCAGGTTTTGTTTTGCCCTTAAACCCTTCCACAACTACAGTTTATGTTCGGTCTGCATTTTACCCCAGCCTGCATTTTACTCTCAGTCTTCAGTCTCCCCACAGTCTACCTGACCGTTCTTGCAATATTTCAAGTGTTGATGGTTTTGTCAGTTTCACAGTAAAATTCATTGAATATGTTTAAAAAAGGAATACAAAAGCCTGCTTGCAATATTAAATTTCTAAAATCTGGATCCAGTTGTTTGAAGGCAGGTTAGCGCTAACTTGGGGTTAAAATAATTTTTAATCTGGGTTTCCTTTTTCTTCAGAAGCATTTTCTCTGATAATTTTCCTAGTCTATTTTTCGGGAGCATCCAATCATAAAATTAGAGAATTTACGTATCTTCATAGCTGATTTCAAATTTCACACTAACCCTGGGTTATCTCATGATCAGACCAGCTTTGAACAACCCAGCCATGTTTTTTTTTTTTTTTTTTTTCATGATCTGACAACAGCTTTAAGTTGGCTTGTGACTACTAACCTAAGAAATATTAATTAATAAGAATAAGGAGAACTGGTTCTCATTAAAAAAGAGGCTGTAGAACAACAGCTGGGTGATTATAACCTGCCCCAAAATAATGTCCACTTCCTGATAGGAGAAAAACCCTGAGCAAAAAAGCTGAACCCCACAATCAGTGATCTCCCGGGTTGGGTGCGTAAAACCATGAGTCTCTGTAATGAAGAAGGGTAACTTTTAGCAATATATTATTCTTGACAGCATACTAACCAAACCAGTTGATAATTGCCTGGACTGTGATTCCATTATCCTCTGATTTATCCCGTCTCTAAAAAGAACGCAGTCCATTTCTATTAATCTCTGACCAGTTTGCCATATTTGTTGTAGTTTCTGCGCCTGAAAAAGTAAATAAACCTTTTTTACTCACAAACTGGTGACAATCATTATGATAGTTACTTAATTCGTGCTAAAAATCTCATCACTCCTTACAATCCAATTATAAACACCTCATGAACATGAATAAAGCATAATAACATTTCCTAGATCTATGGAGATGATCAATGATTAATTTAGAGTTAAGAAATGCAAACACATTGACAATAAATAGTTGATGAGTTTGAAAAATCATGTCAGGACTTGAGTGCAAATACTTAACAATAATTTATTGAATGAGGCTGAATGTGATGATGTTCCATTCAATGACACAAAAGGCTTAAAGTCTAGCTTTTAACTAGCTAAAAAATTTTTATTCGCGATATTTTTGACCAACTAGTTGGATTTTACTAAAACAATTATTCCTCTCGCCCTTATGGCCTCTGAGTCAATAGCCCATTCAGCCTTCAGCCTCATGGGTTATTGACTCCGAGCACATTCAGGCTCAAGGAATAATTGTTAAATATATCTGCTTTGAGTCTTATGACCAAATGCAATGAATGCATGTCCTTAAACCATAAGCTTTACAGTAAAGAAATCTCATCTCAAGTATGATAATAACATCAATACTCTTCAGCAATAATACACAGAGCATAGCCAGGATTTTTGTAGAAAGAGGTACGCACAAGTTTCCAGATTCCCCTTCCCACAAACTTAAAGTCCCAAATCTTTTTCAGGATTCTTGATTTAAGTTGAGGTTATGTTTATGCTCTCTAAGAAATGACAAACCAGGACGTTGTAAGAATCTTTGTCACCTTTTTGGCTCATTGACTGAACATATCAGTTGTCACTAATTATGCCAAAAAGTTACTATTTTGTTAAACAAGCTTAAGTTGTTTTAGACTAACAAAAGCACCCTACATTTGCATAATTGTGCCCCACTTAATCTACTGCATCCCAGTCATCCCAAACATCATTTGACATAGTCACCCTAGTCACTCCAGCCATCCTAGTCTCCCTGGTCATCCTAGTCACCCCAGTCATCCTAGCCACCCTAATCATCACTAGTTATCCTGGTTACCCCAGTTATCCTAGTCATCCCAGTCATTCAGTCATCCAAGTCACCCTAGTCATCCTATCAATCCTACAGTCATGAAAGTCATCATAGCCATCCTACAGTCGCCAAAGTTATAATAGTTATTCTAGTCATCATATTCCCCCTGGTCATCCTAGTCACCACAGTCATAATGGTCACCCTAGTCACCCGTGTCACTCCAGTCATCCTAGTCATCATATTCACCCCAATCACCCCAGGCATCCTAGTCATCCTAGTCACCCTGTCATCCTAGTCACCCTAGTCACCCTATCATCCTAGTCACCCTATAGGCATCCTAGTCACTCTAGTCACCCTCGACACCCAAGTCATGCTAGTCACCCCAGTCACCCTCGTCAGTCTAGTCACCCTAGTCACCCCGGTCATTCTAGTGATCCTAGTCACCCTAGTCATCCTAGTCATCCTCTTCACCCCAGTCACCCCTGTCACCCTAGCTACCCCAGTCATTCTAATCACCCCAGTTATCCTAGTCATCTTAGTCACCCTAGTTACCCGAGTCATCCACCCCAGCCATCCTAGTCAATCCAGTCACCCATGTCAGTCTAGTCACCACAGTCATCCTAGTCACCCTAGTCTCCCTAGTCTTCCCAGTCATCTTAGTCATCATATTCACCCTTGTCATCCTAGTCATCCTAGTCACCCCAGTCATCCACAGTCACCAAAGTCATCCTAGTTATTCTAGTCATCATATTCCCCCTAGTCATCCTAGTCACCACAGTCATCATTGTCACCCTAGTCACGCTGGTCATCCTAGTCACTCCAGTCATCCTAGTGTCCCTAGTCATCCCAGTCATACTAGTCATCATATTCACCCTAATCATCCCAAGCTGAAGCATCCTAGTCATCCTAGTCACCCGAGTCACCCTGTCATCCTAGTCATCCTAGTCACCCTAGTCACCCTATCATCCTAGTCACCCAGCTAGTCATCCTAGTCACTCTAGTCACCCTCGACACCCCAGTCATGCTACAATGAGGGACAAAGGTGTTGACACACTACCATAAAATGGCCCCTTTTTGCATAGTGGATATACTTATCCCCTTCCCCTGTCTACCCCAATCCCTTCCCCCCAAAATCAATGTTGAATTTTGGACCCTCAAGTCTTTTTTTTCCTTCAGACAACACTGATTCGGGGGGTGAGGGGATTTACGGCCTTTAAAAGGAATGAAATAATAAGTGAATTAAATGTTTGTTAAAAGCACCCATTTTAAACAAGTGTGTCAACTACTTTTGTCCCTGATTATAGTCACCCCAGTCACCCTAGTCACTCTAGTCACCCTAGTCACCCTAGTCATCCTCATCACCCTGGTCACCCCTGTCACCCTAGCTACCCCAGTCATTCTAGTCACCCTAGTTACCCGAGTCATCCACCCCAGTCATCCTAGTCAAGCCAGTCACCCCTGTCATCCTAGTCACCCCTGTCATCCTAGTCACCCCAGTCATCCTAGTCACACTAGTCATCCTAGTCTCCCTAGTCATCCTAGTCATCTTAGTCGTCATATTCACCCTTGTCATCCTAGTCATCCTAGTCACCCCAGTCATCCACCCAGGTCATCCTAGTCACACAAGGAACCCTAGTCACCATAGTCATCCTTGTTACCTCAGTCATCCAGTCACCCCAGTCACCCTAGTCAATCTATTCACCCTAGTCACCCCAGTCATCCTAGTTACCCTAGTCACTCTAGTCATCCAAGTCACCCCAGTCTAGTCACCCTGATCACCCCTGTCATCCTAGTCAGCCCAGTCATTTTAGTCACCCTTATCACCCTAGTCATCCTAGTCACCCCTGTCACCCCTACCATCCTAGTCACCCTGGTCATCCTAGTTATCCTAGTCACCCTGGTCATCCTAGTTATCCTAGTCACCCTAGTCATCCTAGTTATCCTAGTCACCCTGGTCACCCCTACCATCCTAGTCACCCTCATCATCACTGGTATCCTAGTTATCGTAGTCACCCCTCTCATCCTAGTCACCCAAGTCATTCTAGTCACCCTAGTCATCCTAGTTATGCCGGTCACCCCCATCATCCTGGTCACCTTAGTCATTCTAGTCGCCTTAGTCGTCCTTGTCATCCTAGTCATCTTAGCCACCCCAGTAACCCTAATCATCCTAGTCACCCTATACTAGTCACCCCAGTCATTCTAGTCACTTTAGTCATCCACCCCAGTCATTCTAGTCATCCTAGTTACCCTAATCACCCCAGTCACTCACTCTAGTCATCCACCCCAGTCATCCTAGTCATCCCAGTCATCCTAGTCACCCTAGTCATCATAAATTATTCACCCTAGCCATCCTTGTCATCCTAGTCACCCCAGTCACTCTAGTCATCCTAGTTATTCTACCACCCCAGTAATCCCTGTCATTCTAGTCACCCCAGTCACCCCAGTCATCCTAGTCATGCTAGTCATCCTTGTCATCTAGTCATCCTAGCCACCCCAGTAACCCTAGTAATCCCAGTCACCATAGTCATCTTAATCATCCTAATCACCCCAGTTGTCCTTGTAACCCTTGTCATCGTAGTCATCCTAGTCATTGTAGTCTCCTCAGTAATCTTAGTTCTGTCAGGCATTATTTATTTGCTTTTCTTTATCATTAGAGTTTTTTATGTACTGTTTTTGTCATTTTTGTACCTTAATTCTTTTTTAGTAATGACATGCATAGCATCTGTTCACCAGCCGCCAGGTAGCTATGTCCCCTGAAACAATTATGACAATTACTGTTACGAATGATTTAAAAGTTACATTTTGGTCCTGTCTTCTCTACATGTACATTACTCTTCAGTGTTATAACTGTCAGCAACCAATCAGCATCTAAACTGTTGATCCATTACTCTGGGGAATAACAACTGCAACAAAACAAAAAAAAGCATTAAAAGAGATGAAAATCAAGGACTCACAGCCATGTAAGCCATGTATAAACTACAAAAGGAATAAAAAACAAGGGGGGTAGTGAGGAATAGAATAAAGGAACTGACTGGTCAGATGAAGTTCTAGACTTTACAACAACAAGTTAAAGGGAACTTCAATTCTTGACCAAACCAACAAGGAAAGTTTGAGAGATTCAGTGGGTTTTCAGATCTGCTTAGAAGGTGTTCATTTTAAGTTATTATATAACTGGCTCTCCTCTCTACCTGTAGTCTAGTTGATGCTGTCAACAGCAAACAATGCTTGGAGTTGAGGATTGGACAAATTTAATTTAAAATGACTTACATATAGCATGGTTTTCTCAAATACTATCTCTTTTTTATCTTTTATAAGATCTGTCTGGGCCTTAGAAGTAACTGAAAAGAAAGTGCTGTCTCTTTTCTGACATCTGCAAATGGTTAGATGTTCTAGTCTTCTCAGATGAAGATAGAAACAGAAGGCCCTGGGCAGCAAATAACATTTCAACTGATCTGACACTTGTTGGGCAAAAAGAGCAACTCACTGACAGACTAGGTACCTCTGCCTCCAGCAGTGGCAAGCGCTGGTGTTTATCTTTCCAGAACAAAGGAATGGGTAGGGAGGGGAGGGTACATGTACTTTACTTGAGACCTTAGAATCTTGCCTGTTTTCATTTCCATTGAGCAGGTATGTGCCCAAAACAACTAGAGAATAAAGGAAAGAGAAGGAACAGGAGAGAAGGACGCATGGGAGAGAGACTATTGGTGATAAGATAAAAGAAGAAAGGTAGCAAAAGATATAAGGTAGATGAGAGAGAGAAATGGTACAGAAATTAATGCAACTTAGTCCTAGGTGAAGCAGCATTGGTCAGTGGGATAATAAAAATGAAAGAAAGAAAGGGCAAAAAGGTGGTACAGGTAATACCAAAGAGAAAAATAGAACAAAAGGGCAGAAAGGGGATGAATGGAATCACAATAAAAACAAAATAGAGAAGGAAAACAAGATGACAAAGAAAGAAGGGAGTACTAATCAAACGAAAAATGGAAACAACAATCATAGCCAAGAAGGGAGAGTAAAAAGGGTGGCAGGGGATGTGGAGTGGTACAAGCTGTTGAATGAAAATAATGGCTACAAAATAATGGAAGGGGAACAAAGTAAGTGGCATACACAGGGATAAAATATCAACATAGAAGAACAGGCAAGATGAATGATGGAAACAACAGACACATATGGAAGGATAAAGGGAGACTACACAAGGGAATGGCATTATAAGGGAAAGGGGGATCTCATAAATAAATAGTAATGAAGATAATAATGGCAGCAAACAAAACAGAGAAACAAGAGGCCCGAAAAAAGGAAGGGAATATTGGTGAATGGAAAATGGAAACAAGTTAAAACAGAGACATGGTGACGTCTCTGCTCTGATTTTTTTGTTTGTTTATGCATCAACAAATCTTACCACTGGTACCCCAAGCTCACGAGTCAGAATTGTTGCACAATGAAATATTACAAGGGGTTGTATGGGGATGTAAGTGTAGTTAGTTAGCAAAGCGATAAAAATACCTCAGAATTTGTTGCCTTGTCTCCTTGTTTAAATGTATGCTGTGTTGTTAACCTTTTAGGCCATTTTAGCATGATTCCAATGAGTTTTGGTTCAGCCATTGCTCCCTTCTATAATAATACACTGTACCCCGAGGCTGGTTACTTGCTAGCAAAGGTCTCGCATATAATCACAGGGCTGCAAATAACGGCCGGTCAACGGACAATGTCCGGCCAGATCGCGGACTTGACCGGTCAAACTCCGGTCTTGCCGGTCATTTTGACCGGTCATTTTTGGATACAAACACTTTATTTTCCATACAGTTGTCGCTTAATGCTCTATAACGCGGCAATGATTTCTTTTTTCTTTGGCGTTTTTTGCTGCTTTGCACTAAACCCTTCTAAGAAAAAGAACGCCGCAATAAATTAATTTCATGTCGTCATGTCGTAATGAAACGTAACAAAGTGATTAACAAACTGAGTTGGAAAGTAACGCAACGTTGCAAGTCGTACTGTACTTTCGGCTTTGCTGTAACCAGCAATGTGACCTTCTTTGGGAATTCGAAGGAATTCAGGCAAATCGATCGCAATTCTCAACAGGTCGTCCTGTGTTTCTCCGGGAATAAATGTTAGCGCATCGATTAATAATAATTTCTTTTATGTCGAACATGAATCTCGTTTGCAGACTCGATTCCAGAATGGTCTGATAAAAATTTAAGCTACTCAAGAGGGAAGGTCGTCGTCTATCGCGGCGCTAGATTCTCGTTCTTGTAAACAACTTTATGCAAATTTCTGTTGACATTTGAGCCCTTCGCGATAAAATGTTGCGCGATGACCCAAATTTATTTATTGACTTCTGATCATCAACACGCTGTTTGTGGAACAAACTTCTCGCCAATGCAAATCAACTTCTTTGCCGAAAATATCAGCGACGATTCTTCTTTGAGGAAGTGACTTTCGATCACGTGCCAGGCAAGGAAAAAGATCAAGTTTCACCGATGTTCATTTCGGAACATCAACGTAAAACAAGCGTGTGCAGATTTTGTAAAATAACCCAATTTTTATGTTTTTTTTTTTCGTAATTTCTTAAGTTTTCTGAACTGTATGTGTATTCCGTTTCCTGAACCTTGGGAGTTTGAAAAGGATTTACATATATACGCTTCACTTTTTACCTCTAGAGACTTCAGACACCGCCGTGCAATGATACTCAAGGTAGAACCTAACAATAAAACGCGCGAAAACCGCGGAAAGGAACTCTACAACGTGCGAATGCATTTTTCACCAATTTGCTGTCAAAAATGTGAACGTCAAGGTAGTAATAATGATCTATTGCCAACATTATTGGATATTCCTTAGGCAAAAAAAAATTATTAGTATTCATTATTTGACCGGCCAGAATCGGGGTTTTTCCGGGCTAAAAAATATTTGGCCGGTCATCATGACCGGCAACCTGCTGTCCGTTATTTGCAGCCCTGTAATCAGAAGGAAATCAGCTGTAAATAGGCTCTTTGCATGACTTGATCACAAGATCAACTTTCGGTAAACACGAAAACAGTTGACTTTCAAAAAATTTGTTAGCACAAGCTGAAAGAGCATATTAAAATTAATAACCTGAGAATTTTCAGCCGCGTATCTCGAAAGTAGCGATTGCAACGACCGCCGAAAGTTAGAAGCATTTGTATGAGATAAACAACTTTTGCTACCCAGTCACGCTTGCATAGTTTTCCATTTTTCTATTTACTCCAAATGCTTCAATTTCCTCCAGATTCAACCCAGGGAATTTAATAACCCTCTTCTAATTACTGCGTTTCTTCACTGGACCAAAGTGATTGCAGAGCATTAATTTCAGCTCACAAAACTTACGACTCTCTTTCAGTGAAGACCATCAATGACACTTTCCATGAAGTTCTGTGCATGGCCATTGGAAATCTGACCTAAGTGACGCTGGCCTTATAGTTCAATTCATATGTACCTGCACACCCAGTATTGAGGGGACAGTATTTTTGTTATTGTTTAGATACACATTGCTATTTTTGACCCCTAAGATTGCTAAAATCTCCATACAAACCCTTAGTCTAGTAATACATCTATTATGCAACAATGATTGTCACCTTTGAGCTTGGGGTACCTGTGATCTCACTAACTATGGTCCATATTAACAAATTGAAAAAATGTGGAATGGTCTACATTCTAGAAATCGACTCTTTATGTAGTGCTACCATGAGGATAATTTAGATTCTGGTCAATATTAGTGATAAAAGGATGTAGGCTTCGCAAAAAAGGAGAAAAATAAACCACTCTGTAGCTTGCCTTTCTGCTGGTGCTAGCTGGGGAATTAGGCATGTGACTTCAAAAAAAATCTATTCCTTGTTTAAAACCACATGACTGGGCTATGTTGGGGGTAAAAAAATGGATTTTTTTCTCGAATAATTTACATGAAAACAGAGTTGTTTAGTTCCCAGAGGAGAGAAATGCTTTTTGTTCTTGGCCACCAACATGGCAAGTGACGTCACGTTCAAACCAGCATTACTTATCAACACAAAACATTTTGAATACCCACTAGCCCAAAGCTGACCCCTCTTAACCTAACTATTCTGAGGGAATTTAATTTTTATTCTTATCTTAGCTACCACTATGTAGTTTCGTTATCTCTAAAACTGCACTGTGAGCTCAAGGCTTAAACGGTTAAGAAATCACTGTAAGAATGCTACCTGTACGGTGATCAATACTCTCAATCAAGATCGCCAGGGTCTGGACACAGAATTGAGTCTTCTTGTTCAAACTGAAGTAACTTTCCTTTTGATCCAGAATATAGTAAGCCAATAAACTGAAAGGCAAAGATTCTGTAGTTGAACAAGGCCGCCATCTTAAGGCGCCATCTTGGTTTCCCCAGGTCCCAAAGCTCTACTCGGTCAAAACTTTGGGAGATGTCGGGGGAGGGGATGGGTGAAGCGGTGAGGGGTTGCTATTAGGAAAAGTCAACAGTTCAATGGTAATCGTTT